GAGTCGAGACGAGACGAGAAGGCGCAAGGAGGAAGAGAGAGGAGAGAGTAGCGTGAATGGGCCAAATTGATGCAAATTGATGCCGTCGTCCCTCACTCACATAACACAGACATCCTCTGCCTCGCCACCACCGCATTGCTCTACTTAACTGATTCCACATCCCATTCAACAGCCCACCTCCCATGCCTCACCCTCCGTTGGAGGGAGTTGCAGTGAATGCTGCAACAGGACGATGTGTCCATGATCAGCACTGTGAGATGCGATGATGGGAGCATCGATCATCGCAGACTTGTTTGTAGGATGTGATGTCCGACTAGGTGAATGGATGGTTGGGTGGGTGGATGGGTGGGTGGATGGGTGGGTGGATGGGTGGGTGAGTAGGTAGATGGGCTGTCCTTCTGTTAAATGAGCGCATTGCGAGTGGCAAGACGATGGGAGTTGGAGGGGTGGGTGATTGCTGTGTTGTGTGGGTGTGCAGCAATGAGGAGTAGGAGGAGGTGGAGGAGGAGGAGGAGGAGAATGGAGGAGAAGGGGAAGAAGAAGAATAGAGTTGCCTGGTGAACGATTCTCTCACTTGAATGTCATCTCAATGGCTTACGATACCGTATCTTTTTTTCTGATTGCTATTTGCCAGCTTAGCTTTACATTTCACACGTGATGATGATGAGATATTGAAGAAGAGGTAGAATACAGCAGAAGGAGGAAAAGGATGACTTCACCATGCCGAATGCGATGTTGTTATTTTAGCAATGGTTCGGATGCCAACAATTTTTATGAGGTTCGTAAAGCTCAAATGCATCAAAGGCGAAAGAACTCATTTTTATCCTCTTAGGATTTTGTAGTTGTCTGAAATGTTGACGTCCTTAACTTTTAGTCGTAATGATGGCAACTTTATTCGTCGAGTTGAATCGCAGACTTCCTAGTTATTTTTCAGTCCATTCACCCATTCACACTTACACCGCAACAATTTTCTTACAAATCTTTGCAGTGAGAAGGATTAAGCGTCAATTTCACCGTTCACTTCAACTACATCATTTGCCACTTTCACGAAGTGTCTTCCAAGAGCGAGAGAATATCTGTGGACATCTGTGCGGACATCCAAAACCGATGTGGGTGAAACAAAGTGACAGACACACACACATTTTTGTTACTGCCTTTCACTCAGTCGTTCATTCCTCTTCACCTGATCCCTGCGATCGTAAGGATGATAAGAAGGGAAAAACTATGAATGATTTCTGCTGAATTCCATTGAAAGCAAAGATCATAAAGTGACCCTGATCACAAGTTTGGTGTGTTTAAGTTTTAAGTATGAATTTTATATCTTTCTACATTTAAAATAGGCTCAAAGGTTAACTAGAAGCCTTCCTTAATCTCATCCTTCTTGCCAATTCGCATCCAACAAATGCAAGCTTGTGGACTGCCCAAAGTCGCAAAACCATTTTTTGGCTTTAAGCATCCCAAAAAGCACCGTAATCTTAAACAAAAGGGTTTACTCTTTGGCAGGAAATACTGTCAGGCTGTATGATTGGTCAGAAGCCCATGTTGTAGGCAAAGTTTCCCAAAATCATGAACACTTCCTTTCTGAACTCGTTGATTCTATGACAAAGGCAATTTTAAGCTTCTCATCGAAAACTGGCACTATATGGTTGTATTTAGTGACATATATTCCCGATTTGTTGTAAATAGACTTCCGTTCTTCAGCCAATCAGATTGCTGTGAAACGCATGGCGCTGATTGGCTATTGAGGTGACCATGTAATTGCATTGTGTCAAGGGTCCATTTGCCTGCTTCACTTTGCAAACCCTTTGTCTGATGTAAATGTTAAATTATTGCCATTATTTGTAAGTCAACTCGGGAAATAGGAGATCCAGTTGATAGTAATTATAACCCCTCACCCGTTAAGGCAAGGGCGCTACTCCACCGAGGACTCATCGCAGAATCAAATATCGAGAGCTCGACGTCTCATATTCCTACTACTTTCTATTTAAATGCTCACATTGTGCAGTTTTACTTGTTCCTCACCTTAAGTGAGGAGTGTCACGCTTGGCTGAAGGCAATGTCAAGCCTAAAGCCTATTTTCATGATCTGTGCATTCATTCCGTACTTGGCGTTCAAATTTAGGGATTTATGGAGGCAAAAGCATAAAAGTAAAGCATTGGCATTAACCACAGCTACATTCTCAACTCAGCTCGATGAGCCGACAATGTCTGTCAAAGAAGAGGTTGAAATTAATAGCAAAGTAAATCCTGTGTTTAATAAACACAATTGTAACTTTTAGCACACGAACCTCCGTATGACATTCCCAGCTTTGGCTACCATTCCAGACACAACAACGATCCAACGCTTTATACACAAAATAATCTAACCTCCCTAATGCAGCAACAAATGTTCCTATTTCATATTTCTTCAAACGCCTCCCCACCAACCAGGGAACAGGCTCGATCGTGGAAGGCACATATCACCATTCAGTTGCCCTCCATTGGTACTGTCAAGGCGACACGCCGAGCCTTCCAACTTTCCCAACACCCTAAAAGTGGACCATCAAGGCCTCAGTAAGGCATTCCTTTCTCAGCTTGAACCGCTAGCAATCCCAATCTCCAGGTCGTTAGGCGCACCGATCTCCACGATGCTCCATTTGGCACAAATTGCGAAATTTGGGAGTAGACTGAGTGCATCAGTCATGCAAATTGACATGAAAGGTGTTTCACACGTCAAGGCGAGCCTTCCCCAACATCTGGAGCCCATCTTCATCAGGTCATTGTCAAGAATGAAGCCTTCGCTACCCCTTGGTTGGGGCCAGACACCACGATGGCTTGAATGACAGTTGTCAAGTGTCAGGTCTTACAGTGGACTTCACTGTGCTTGAATTCGAGGTCAGTTCATGACACAGAGACTCGTAGTTGTAGCTAGACAAAAGAGATGAAGGAGAAGTAAGGCTTTGAGTGATTAAAACTTCGACAACGTCAACTTAAAATTAATTAAATTTCAGTTTTGCTATTTTTTTTACTTCAAGGGTTGATTTCGGCGTAAACTTACAAATTGGTGACAAAAAAAAGGAAAGTCTAGCCACTCAGTCATCAACTCGATTTCTACCTCCACCTCCAAGATTTGAAATACAAAAGGAGTCATAATTAATTTCTCTAATTAAAACAAAACTTCAAGTTACTTCGTATTACAATTGTTTTTTTGAAAGTTGCGAGAGGTTAAACTTTAGTAAGGTGGAAGAGAGTTTGAAGTTGGGTTATGAGGGAACTGTGGAAAGCTTCAGTGTGTCTATTTGAAGTCTTTTCACGAGTTGTCGCGTTGGCGTGAAAGGATGGCTTCGAACTTGTCAATACAACGAGATTAAAGTGACGCCTTAATGAGGGAGGAGGGGTGGCGGGCAGAAGGGGGAGACTGAACAATAGAACTGTCATTCCTTCTTGCAGGCTATCAAACAAATTCAGGTGTTAGTATCAACCTGTCATCGATGGAGTGTCTCAAGTTTACCCTCTCACTTCCAGTGGAGGGGAGAGCGATCATCATAAAACGCCTTCTGGTGATCAAATGGTCTTTGGGTCAACTTCTTTCTTCTCAGGTCAGATGCTTCCATTCTGGATGGAAGAGATGGAAGGACATCCTACTAAACTCTAAGTCTGACTGGTTTTACGGCCTCAAGGGACCGACGGCGGAGGTGGGAGGTAACAGTACAGAATTTTACTCCTTCTAATTATGAAGTGGACCAAATGAATGGAGAAGTGGCTGCTAGGGTTGAAGTGACAATTGAGATTATCGTCTGGCTGCCAAGACAGTGGATCAGACACCGTGTTGGGATGCGGTGGATGCCTTAGTATTGGAGTTAGACGAGGAGACGCGTGCCACCGGATCGGGACCGACACAAAGACCTCGTCTATAATCACAGCAAGGACCTCATCCCAATGACAGTCCACTAATTGCATTTAAAAACAATCCCTTTCACTAGAAGAAGGTGATACTTTTGACAGTCTACGATCTTCGCTGCAAGCATTCTTCGTAGTTGCCAAATGGGTTGAAGGAATTCGGTTCTCCCCGAAGAGCAGTTCGCTTGACCGTCCATGGCATCAACCTCAGAAATATTCCAGCACCCTCAAAATCAATCTTCGAGTTGTCATGCGATTGGAAGGCTATTTGATGGCATTTACTGACTCCTGTTGGCAATTCTGGTGGATTTGAAGTCGCATCCCATTCAGGAAGTGAACTAAGGCCACACTGTTGACAATCACCGCTAATCATTAATAAAATAATCAAAATGTAGAGTTATTTGACTTGTAGACTTGTCTTTTATACAAGTGGTGTATTACCACCACCGTTAATGCAGACCTTCGAGACTTCGTTGAAGACGATGACATGCAACCAAAGCCCTCCCCCAACCCCAGTAAGCTCTATGCTCAGACAATTTTTACGAAGTGTCAGACCGTCCAGTTGGGCTCTTTAAGGTGAGACAGAATTCTGACTTCCTGATAAAACAGATTTTCACCGACGTTTGAATATGTCTCTCACACCATTGGAAGTCGAGTCAACGTCACTGGAAAGCAACCAATGGAGAAACGCTAAGAACGACCTTTAAAAGCAATTTGTAATGCAACTATTTAACTTGTCTCCTCACCCTCTTCCAGCGTCGTGAAATACTTCAATGACTGTCTTACACCTCAATACCTCCTCTTCCATTTCCTCTTTCCACTCCACGACTACCTACCAACACAGTCTCCAAGTCCAAAGAAAGGATTCTCCTCATTTTCTTACTTATTGTAAGAATATCCAAAGTATCTATGACTTTTAAACAAAATTTTTTTTTCTATTTACATTAACTACGAAGTCACACAAGAATGCGCACACGCATTATTTATCACCGCCTTATCAATGGCTGAAACAAAAATGACGACAGGGGCCAAGAGAGTACCGTTTGCCTCTGTCTGTTCGGGGATTGGGGATTTAGAGGATCTAATTACATTCGCCCCCTTCCGTCCTGTGGAGGCGGTTTAATGACCGGAAGCTTGATCGTCGCCAGTAATTATCCCACACCAGTGGTGGTAGGAAAGGATTACACTGACTTCATTCTCACTCCACTCTACTCAAGAATGGGGCAAGAGGAGGCCGTTGCAAACATACCCATTGATAGTAAGGTCTTTTGGGACAAGTGTATCAAATACAAAAATCGTCTTAATAATTACAGACACCTTGGATGGATAGTACTGCTTGCCTCGGCTATAAACGTCATTCTTATTGGTGGAAAGAGACGTGCATTTGGAATCTTTGTAACAGCACTGCACAATGACTTTAAGAACACCTCAATGACTGAACTCAATTGGATTGGTGATAGTTATGCGGCTGTGGGATTCTTTCTCATGCCTTTTATGACAACATTGATAGTTCAAGTCGGTCGAGCTTACCGTTTTGCTATGATGGCTGCTGGTGCCTTTATTTTTGTGAGTTGTTTTACATCTGCAGCTGTGCCATCACCTGGATACCTCTTCGCTACTCACACCGTTCTTCATGGTATCGGTTCTACCCTCATCTTGTGCACAACTGCTCTCATAACTGGTGAGTACTTTGACAAGAAGCATCGTTTTCATGTCTTGGCAACGGCTTTTGTATCCGGTGGACCGTACGGTGTACTCATATTTGGTCCCCTCTTCTCCATTTGGATACACAACTACGGTTGGAGACATGCATTTGAGATTTGTGGTGTGGTCTTTCTTGGTTTCACTCTTTTGGCTGCTGTTGTTTATCAGGCAAAAAGTAATGACAATTACGAGGAGGTTGATAATAACAGTCAAAAAGGAACTATGGAATCGGTAGAGCCCACTGCAGCCAGTGGTCGTGGATGGGCACTGATTTCGCTGTCGCATTTACGGAAAAATCTACAAATAGTGCTATGGGCCCTTGACAGATTAGTGCACAACTTTGTTATGTATGGTCTCCTGATGAATATGACAACTTACGTGACCGAGGCCTTGAAGGATCGCATTGAACAGGGGTCAAGGGTGAACCTTTATTTTGGCATCGGAGAATCGCTTATCTTCACTGCTGGCGCTCTGGTTGGAGATCGAATGCGGGGATATCTGCCGCTATTTTACATGATTGGAGCCGCATCTGCTGCTATTATTCTTCTAATAATGCAGAGTATTTACAAGAATGTGAAGGGCGTGCTAACGTTGGCGGGTTTCCTGGGTGCTGCAGTGGGAACAGGCAATACATTCCTTTACGCCACTTCAGAGGAGGTTATGCTTATTCACGGCTCCGTTGCCTTTCCAATGACCAAGATGATTGCTGGGATAGGCATGCTGTTGGCACCCTTTCTCTCTGGGACGGTTATTGATACATTTTCCTTCCGTGGATATTTTATCTCAATGGCTGTTCTGGTTTGCATTCGGGTAATCTTCTTCATCATCATTTGTATTATACTATGGAGGAAGAAGAAATCACTCAATCGAAAACGGCAGCAGGAGGCGGAAGCAGAGGCTACAAAGCTTCAACCGAAAATTATTACTACAGCACCAAGTTCTGAAGGTCCTGATAATGAGTCGGATGCCTGTACCACTAATCATGGCTCTATGGCTTTGCAGTAAAATGTTTCCGCACACTTAGAGCGGTCCGTTAATGGCTGCTGCTGTCCACCACTTCATGCTCCAAAATTCGGATGTAACAAACACTCCGAATTCTTCTCCAGTTATGAATGACCTCTGGTGTAAGTAGAGCAACTTCTAGAATAAATACACTTTGTGCGATCATAACAAGCTTGATAACAAGCTCACCACCTGTAGTAAACAAGCTCACGCAATCGGCACTGCTTCCTGACAGTCTGTAGTCATTTATCAACCCCACTCCCAATTTACTTAATTGGGGCCCCATAAAATTGCACATGATTATTTAAATGCAAGAAATGCTGCTCTCATGCATCACTAGGTAAACACATGGTTTTGGTTGGATTTTTCAAAGTTTTTTACTACTTATAACAAAATCAGTAAAAATGTTATTTTAAGTTAACACTACCAACTTGGCAATTGCCGCTCGTGAGTAGACTAACTTCAGAGTCTGCGAGGTTGATTAGTAAAGGTTACTATAAGAGTCGAACACTTCTGCAGCTAAATTTCGAAAGCGAAAGCAAAGTGTAACGATAGATGGGAACGAATGACTATTTTCATCGCAAAAGCAACCTCTAACGAAAGTGCTTGGGTAAAACGCGCGTAAAACTGATAGGAGAGTTTCCCGCAGTTGTCCTTCAAAATATTTGACGAAACGTTTCTTGTGGGCGAGATACGTATAACATATGATAGGAACGGCGCAATACGAAGATGAGAGGCAATAAACCAAGTTGAGAGCATAGTATTAATTCTGAGCATTTACTCCAAATCAGCTCAATAAAATATAGCATAAATAAACAATTTGCATGACAGAATCATACTGGATATGAACATAAAGTCCAACACCATTATGGAAAAGACAAGGCGAAGTTATCAGCCGTCATTACATACTTGATACACAAGCATCACTGCGACCAGGACATTGTTACGACCAGCGCCATTACTTTCCCCTTCCTCCATAAACCACACAATTATCAATAAACAAATTGCAATCAGAAAAAAAAGATAAGGTATCGTAAGCCATTGACATGATATCCAAGTAAGAGAATCGTTCACCAGGCAACTCTATTCTTCTTCTTCCCCTTCTCCTTCATTCTCCACTTCTTCCTCCTCCTCCTCCTCATCCTCCTCCTACTCCTACTCCTCATTGCTGAACAGCCACACAACACAGCAATCACCCACCCCTCCAACTCCCGTCGTCTTGCCGCTCGCAATGCGCTCCTTTAACAGAAGGACAGTCCATCTACCTACTCACCCATCCATCCACCCACCCACCCACCCACCCAACCATCCATTCACCTAGTCGGACATCACATCCTACAAACAAGTCTGCGATGATCGATGCTTCCATCATCGCATCTCACAGTGCTGATCATAGGCTCATCGTCCTGTTGCAGCATTCACTGCAACTCCCTACAAAGGAGAGTGAGGCATGGGAGGTGGGCTGTTGAATGGGATGTGGAATCAGTTAAGTAGAGCAATGCAGTGGGGGCGAGGCAGAGGATGTCTGTGTTATGTGAGTGAGGGACGACGGCATCAATTTGCATGCATCTACACCATCCTACTGGCCCATTCACACTACTCTCTCCTCTCTCTTCCTCCTTGCGCCTTCTCGTCTCGTCTCGCCTCGCTTCGCTTCGCATCGCCTCGCATCCTGCCTCCCCACTCCACATCACGCGTGCACATTCGAGCATCGACAATTGAGGCGATGCCATCAAAATTTGGGCATTCGCGTGCAGTAGGAATGCGGATGGTGTGCAGAGGTGCAGCATTTCTCAACTCCCATTTCACCACACACACACACACATAGAGATGCAAAGAGTGATGCTATGTGGCATGTCTTTACACCAAGTGGTCGTGCAACACCTTCCACCACCTCTATGCACGCACTCTCAATGACGTCGCAGTAAGGTGGGCGTGAAGGAGCAATGCGAGCACTCGCAGTGAATGCTGTGTGCAGTGGGGTGGTGGTATGGGACAATGTGAAGGCGTTGGTGATGGCAGAGTGGAATGCACGAGAGGCATGAGGTAGGACCGTACTAGTGAAAGGCGCCATTCCCTTGTGAATCCGATGTCTGCACTACCACTCACACCATCCCACTCTCACACCCACCCAACACCACCCCACGCAACCTCACCTTACTTCACCATTTTCCCACTCCCAAAGTGCATCCATCAACACACCTCCCACTCGGTATTGACAAAACAGAGTTTGGATTGAGGCGATGGTGTGGAGGGGAGAGGAGTGGAATGAGGAGGAATGGTGCGTGCTTGTATGATAGACTGCGTGTGTGTGTGTGTAATGAAGTGGATGTGTGGAAGTGTAGCGCATGGCGAGTGGTGCTGGAAGGGAGTCATTGATTGGGGGGAAACGAGCGCTTCCTGTGCGGTCCCAGTGACTGTCACCATGTTCGTTGGGCAAGTGACATTTGAACGGGATGACTGTGGGCCTCACCACCCACACAGGAGGCAGACACATATCAAAATGCCTTTCCATTCCCACTCCCTCCCCTTTACCTGCCTTGCATTGCCTTGCCTTGTCTCGTCTCGTCTCGTCTCGTCTCGCTTCGCATCGCATCGTGTCGCGTCGCGTCGCGTCGCGTCGCCTCCATGTCGCTGAATGACAATGTGCACACGTTCCACGTGTC